ACTGAAATTTTCTATAGGAAAATTTTGATTTGCAGAAATTTTGTATTTTATTATGGGAAAATCTATATGAAATATTTCCTTTTGGATTACATGGAAACATTTTGTTTGGTTTGGTTTGTGTTGATCTGTTTTGTTTGAGCTGCTGCCCTGCCTTGAGGAAGATAATATGGGGCATTCAAGTCCTCAGTCTCTGCTCTTGTTGAAGTACTACAGTGCAATCACGTGTGTCATGCAATCCTAATGCATCATGGGAGATGTAGTCTGGCCAAAGAATTCAGCCCACAGAGAACAGCAAGGGACATAAGGCATCAGAACTCAATCTCCCATGAGGCATGGTAGCAGATATGGGGCACAAAAATTAATGATAAACTTTTTCAACATTTCTCAATCTATTTTTTTTTACCTCTTTCTGTTATTTGTGTTCTATTTCAATATTTAACCTTTCCCCCCGATTTATGATGAAAACAGAGGTCAAAATATCAGAATTTCTCACAGGATGGAAATTCTGATTTTCATTCAGATCTAAAGTAAACTTGTCAAAAGGTAGCACTTGCAAAAAGGGAAACTGAGCAGAGCTTTAGGATGTGTCTAGACTATAGGTTTTTTTTTTTAAAGTGGCCTTTTTTTAAAAAAAACTTCATCTGCATCTAGACTACCGTCGCAGTCTTTCATAAAGAAATCGAAAGAACATGGCTTTTTTAAGACAGCAGTAAACCTTGTTTTACGAGTAAGAACGACTTTTTCCAAAAGAGCTCTTTAAAAAAAAAATTTTCGAAAGATTGCATGCAGACTGCCTGACTGCTCTCTTCCGAAAAAGTGGCTTGCTTTTTCAAAAGTACTGGTTGTAGTCTAGGTGCTCTTTTTCGAAAGAGGCAAATTCGAAAGTATCTTTCGAAAAAGCCTCATTCGAAAGAGGCTTGCAGTCTAGATGTAGCCTTACAGTGAAGGCAGGAAGCCACAGTGCTATATGGGTTATTGTAATGATATGCACCGTATTGTAAGTCATACCACATCTATATAGCCTTAAAACATACTGCAAAGGACTATTGCAGAAAATTGCTAATACAACAGAGCTGTTACTTGTTTAATAAAGGTCAAGCATTGAAGCATGTGGCTGCTGGAGCTGACATGGCTGTTCAGGGATTACTGCTTGTTACATGGTGCCAGGAAAGGCTTCAATCCAAAGGAGATTTAAAGAAAAGCGACTACAAATGTGCAACATGAGGAAAAGATAAGACTTCTGCACTCCACGGCAATGGAAGCAATCAAACCTACTGTTCTCCAGCAAACGGCAGGTAATATTAACTATAACTGGAAAACTTTTAAGCAGAGATTCATGCTACACTGCACAGTAGTTGGTGTATTTGCAAAGTCGGGTAAAAAGAAAGTAGCTGCATATCTTACAACTCCAGGGACCTGAGCAACGTATACATAAATAGACAACAGATCAAGATGAGTCAGGATTGCTTATTCACAAGTCTGATGCGTATCACTCATCACAGGAGCAGACAAGTGAGAGAGAGTCTTCCACAGAACATTCAATAACTGGAATCATTTGATACCTTCATCAGAGCCCTTAGGCACACAGCTTAGTCACATCATTTTGGTGAATTTACAACATCAGTGGTTTTGGATCAAACAGTACAATAAAAAATAATCAGAGTGGGTCAGCTAAGAGAGTCAGTGCTCGGGCTGAGTGATGCAGTTATGCTGAGCCAGTGAAATAGTACGATTGAATATACAATGAAAACCACTTACTAGTGACTTACCAATTTGTTCTATCTGATCATATTCCACAGGGCTAAGAGGAGAAGAGGAGGGAAAGATAAACACCAAGGTAACACGCAAACTGTTTGGGGATGCAGAGGATATGTCTAGACTACATGCCTCTGTTGGCAGAGGCATGTAAAATAGGCTACCCAACATAGTCAATGAAGCGGGGATTTAAATATCCCTGGCGACATTAAAATAAAAATGGCCAGCACACTGTGCCCCCACTTCATTAAAATAAAAATGGTCGCTACGCTGTGCCGGCTCGGCTGATCGTTGGCACAGCGCGGCAGTCAAGATTTGGATCGGTCGACAGGGGAAGCCTTTGTCGACCGCTCCTGTAAATCTCGTTTCACGAGGCATAAGGGAGCGGTCGACAAGGCTTCCCGTCAACCGATCCGTGTCTTGACTGCCACGCTGGGCCGATGATCAGCTGAACCGGCACAGCGCGGTGGCCATTTTTATTTGAATGAAGCCAGGGATATTTAAATCCCAGCTTCATTGACTATGTCGGGTAGCCAATTTTACATGCCTCTGCCAACAGAGGCATGTAGTCTAGACATATCCAGAGAGTTGGGGGTCTAGAGCAGTGGGGCTCAACCTTTTCTAATTTGTGACCCCCCAGCGCCAGGAATATTTTGTTGCGGCCCCTTTAATTTAAAGCACCGGTTTGCTTCCCTGCCACTCCCCCTAGCCCTGCCACGTGTACATTGGGTGCCGAGCCCTGAAAAGAAAATGGTGGCCGGCCCAGATCGAAGTGCTGTGACCCCCCCAGGAACACAGCACATGGGTTATGCACCACTGGTCTAGAGAAAGGGAGAAATCAGGGAGTTGTGTACAGTTACCGGGGGAGAAAGACTAGTGACTGGAACAAGGCAGGCAGCAGTAAAAATGTAGCTCTCATTTGACTGCAATTTCAAAACCAGCTCCAGGTTTTCCAAGGCCAAACATGGACGATGAAAAAATATTGTAATGATTGTCATTCCTGATGCACAAACTCATGGAGGATAACGGATATTGGCATGTCATTAGAAGTGATGTGCATACAGTATGGATGTTAAGTATCGGTTAATTAAGTAATCGAGTAGTCAACGGAATTGACTACTCGATTAGTCATGGGAGGAGGAGCTGCCATTGCGGCGCTGCACTTTAAAAGCAGTAAGAGTCTACTGGGCTCTTACTATCTTTAAAGTTCAGAGCTGCAGCAGGGTGACCTCCTGGGGCGGTGCAAGCCAGGACTGAACAGTCCCAGCCTGCGCTGCCCCCCCTTGCACTGTGGAGATGGAGCTGGGGGGAACTGGCTTTTAAGTCAGCTCACCCCAGCACCAGCTCCTGCTCCTGCTCCCTACCCCCTTGCTGCCTCTAATACAGAGTCAACCAGGAAGGGGGGCAACTAGTCGAGAAGTCACTTGACTACCCGATAAGCTTATGCCTAAGCTTATTGGGTAGTTGACTACTCGACTAGTTGCTTACATCCCTAGCCCACAGCATTCATGCTTTAGTGAGACACGGACGTGGGTCAACAGAGAAAGTATCTGCTTTTGTTCCTGTTGGCTATGGAGATTCAGGGGGCATGATGGAATTGCTGGGCCCTGGGCTAAGTGGTGGTGGGGGGACACCCGCAAAACACTCCTGGGAAGGGGCGGAGCCTCAGAAGGAATGGACAGAGCTGGGGGCTAGCCTCCCCTTTAGCACTGCCTGGAAAGTGCCACGTGGGGCTTTGGCGGAGATTTAAAGGACCTGTGGCAGTGGCAGTAATAGAGGCTGGGAGTCCTGGGTCCTTTTGAATCACCAGGCCTGGGGCAATGTCTCCCTTGGCCCTCCTGTCCGGTTGGTGGGCCTGTGGGGATCCCTTTGCTCATATAAAACAACAGCTTCAATGGAACAGCCATGTGCTGATGTCAGTAACTATCTGTATAGAATTGCCCAGAAGCAGCAAGAGCACAAGAACTGGGTGTTACTGGCCCAAACTACCCTGCCTTGCTCTCCAGGTAAGTCTACACTAGCTCCCTAGTTCGAACTAGGGAGACTAATGTAGGCATTCCAAGTTGCAAATGAAGCCTGGGATTTATATATCCTGGGCTTCATTTGCATCTTCCCGGCGCCGCC